GCGTTTGACAAACGCTGGACCCCCCGCCTACCGGCCGAGGCATTGGCGGGGGTCCAGGGCTTGACAAACGCTAGACCCCTCCAAAAGTACGGCCGTGGGTGGGGGTCCAGCGTTTGTCTAACGCTGGGACCCCCGCCCACGGGCCGTGCTTTTGGAGGGCTCCAGCATTCGTGAAACGCTAGACCCCCAACAATTGCACGGCCGGTGATCGGGGGTCCAGCGTTTGTCAAACGCTGGACCCCCGTCAATGGCTCAGCCGGTAGGCGGGGGGTCCAGCGTTTGTCAAACGCTGGACCCCCGCCCACGGACCGTGCTTTTGGAGGGTCCAGTGTTTGACAAACACTGGACCCCCACCAATGGCATGGCCCGTGGGCGGTGCTATTGGTGGGGGTCCAGCGTTTGTCAAACGCTGGCCCCCCTCCTACCGGCCGTGCTTTTGGAAGGGGTCCAGCGTTTCACAAACGCTGGACCCCCGCCAACCGGCCATGCTTTTGGAGGGTTCCAGCGTTTGCCGTACCATCAGCGGGGGTTGATCTCGCATCCTGCGTGGCATTACAACCAATAGGACATCACCTTTTCAATCGATTTTTCAAACAAAAAAATAACAGATCAATGTGACGGATTGGGGTTGGATCCTCTCCGCGACTGTGATGTCGCATCCTACGTGGCATTGCAACCAATAGGACATCACTGTTTCAATCGATTTCTCAAAAAAAAAAAAAAAACAGATAAATGAGAGGGGTAGGGGTTGGATCCCCTTCACGACTATGATCTCGCCTCCTACGTGGCATTACAACCAACAGGACATCACCTTTTCAATCGATGTTTTCGAAAAAAAAACAAAATAGATAAATGTGAATGGTCGGGGTTGGATTCCCTCTGCGACTATGATCTCGCATGCTACGTGGCATTACAACCAATAGGACATCCACTTTTTAATCAATTTTTCCAAAAAAAAGACAAAATAGATCAATGTGAGGTTTGGGGTTTCGATTCCCTCCGCGACGATGATCTCGCCTCCTACGTGGCTTTACAACCAATAGAACATCACCGTTTCAATCGATTTCTCAAAAAAAAAAAAACCTGATAAATATGAGGGGTTAGGGTTGGATCCCCTTCGCGATTATGATTTCGCCTCCTACGTGGCATTACAACCAACAGGACATCACCTTTTCAATCGATTTTTTTCAAAAAAAAAAACAATAGATAAATGTGAGTGGTGGGGGTTGGATTCTCTCCGCGAGTATGATCTCGCATCCTACGTGGCATTACAACCAATAGGACATCACCTTTTCAATTGACTTTTTTCCAAAAAAAAAAAAAAAAGATCAATGTGAGGGGTTGGGGTTGGATCCTCTCCGCAACTATGATGTCGCATCCTACGTGGCATTACAACCAATAGAACATCACCTTTTCCATCGATTTTCAAAAAAACAAAACAAAAAAACAGATAACTTTTGGATATGTGAGGGGTGGGGATTCGATCCCCTCCGCGACTATGATGTCGCATCCTACGTCGCATTACAACCAATAGGACATCACCATTTCGATTGATTTAAAAAAAAAAAAAAAAAAAAAAAAAGCTTCCGATGGGCATTCGATCCCCTCCACGAGTATAATCTCGCCTCCTACGTGGCATGACAACCAATAGGGCATCACCTTTTCGATTGGATTGTCAAAAAAAAAAAATCAGATCAATGTGAGGGGTGGGGGTTCGATTCCCTCCGCGACTATGATCTCACCTCCTACGTGGCATTACAACCAATAGGACATTACCGTTTCAATCGATTTTTCCAAAAAAAAAAAAAAAAACAGATAAATGTGAGTGGTGGGGGTTGGATTCCCTCCGCGAGTATGATCTCACATCCTACGTGGCTTTACAGCCAATAGAACATCACATTTTCAATCGATTTTTCCAAAAAACAAAATAGACCAATGTGAGGGGTGGAGGTTCGATTCCCTCCACGACTATGATGTCGTATCGTACGTCGCATTACAACCAATAGGACATCACATTTTCGATCGATTTTTCAAAAAAAATAAAAATAAAACAGATAACCTTCCGACATGTGAGGGGTGGGGATTCGATCCCCTCCGCGAGTATGATCTCGCCTCCTACGTGGCATGACAACCAATAAGGCATCATCTTTTCAATCGGATTTTCAACAAAAAAAAAACAGATCAATGTGAGGGGTGGGGGTTCGATTCCCTCCGCGACTATGATCTCGCCTCCTACGTGGCATTACAACCAATAAGACATCACCGTTTCAATCGATTTTTTCAAAAAAAAAAAACAATATTAGATAAATGTGAGTGGTGGGGGTTGGATTCCCTCCGCGAGTATGATCTCGCATCCTACGTAACATTACATCGAATAGGACATCACCTTTTCAATCGATTTTTCCAAAAAAAAAAAAAAGAGACCAATGTGAGGGGTGGGGGTTCGATTCTCTCCSCGACTATGATCTCGCCYCCTMCGTGGCATTWCAACCAATGGGACATCMCCTTTTCSAYCASATTTTYAAAAAAAAAAAAAAACGATCAATGTGAGGTTTGGGGGTTTGATTACCTCCGCGACTATGATCTCGCCTCCTACGTGGCATTACAACCAATAGGACATCACCTTTTCGAACGGATTTAAAAAAAAAAAAAAAAATAATAAAATCAATGTGAGGTTTGGGGGTTCGATTCCCTCCCCGACTCTGATCTCGCCTCCTACGTGGTATTATAACCAATAGGAGATCACCTTTTCGATCGGATTTAAAAAAAAAAAAAAGAGATCAATGTGAGGGGTAGGGGTTCGATTCCCTCCGCGACTATGATCTCGCCTTCTATGTGACATAACAACCAATGAATAAAAAAATAAAAAAAAAACAGATCAATCTGAGCGGTGGGGGTTCGATCCCTCCTCGACTATGATATCGCCTCTTACGTGGCATTACAACCAATAGGACATCACTTTTTCGATCGGATTTTCAAAATAAAAAAAAACAGATCAATGTGAGGGGTGGGGTTTCGATTCCCTGCACGACTATGGTCTCGCCTCCTACGTGGCATTACAACCAATAGGACATCATCTTTTTGATCGGATTTTCAAACAAAAAAAAAAACAGATCAATGAGAGGTTTGGGGGTTCGATTCCCTCAGCGACTATGATCTCACCTCCTACATGGCATTACAACCAATAGGACATCACATTTTCGATCGAATTTTCAAAAAAAAAAAAACAAATCAATGTGAGGGGTGGGGGTTCGATTCCCTCCGCGACTATGATCTCGCCTCCTACGTGGCATTAGAATCAATAGAGCGTCACATTTTCGATCGGATTTTCAAAAAAAAAAAAAACAGATAAATGTGCGTGGTGGGGGTTGGATTCCCTCCGCGAGTATGATCTCGCATCCTACGTAGCATTACAGCCAATAGGACATCACCTTTTCAATCGATTTTTCCTATAAAAAAAAACAACAGACCAATGTGAGGGGTGGGGGTTCGATTCCGTCCGCGACTATGATCTCGCCTCCTACGTGGCATTACCACCAATAGGACATTACCTTTTCGATCGGATTTTCAAAAAAAAAAAAAAACAGATCAATGTGAGGGGTGGGGGTTCGATTCCTTCCACGACTATGATCTCGCCTCCTACGTGGCATTACAACCAATAGGACATCACCTTTTCGATCGATTTTTCAAAAAAAAAACAAAAAAAACAAATAACCTTCCGATGGGGATTCGATCCCCTCCGCG